TGCCTCGGGAGGATGATCACAGAGAGTGTCAGAAAGGTTTAGAAAACTGCTACCATTGAGCAAATTACGTTAAATTACGTTTTTAAAGACGTATTTTGATTTAAGGCGCATGGTCCGCATTTAACTCTCAAATTATGTACCCGAAATAATCTTCGAAAATATTGAATGTAATAAATATTGATAATCTATAGAATACAATCAATGAACATTAGATGATTATTTTTCTTAACCTTTGCTTCCAGACGAAGGCATGCAGTCAATTAATTGATAAATTAAGCAATTGTGTTGTATGTAATTTGAATATTGGCTCCAAATTCATGTAATTAAATTGACATGACACTTTAGCGATATAGAATTTACAAAGTATTTTTACACTAATCAAAACGCTAAACTATTTAAACACGAGTGAGTGAGTGAGTGAGTGAGTGAGTGAGTGAGTGAGTAGGGTTTTACGCTGCTTTCATCAAGATTCCAGCGATATCACGGCGGGGAACACCGGAAATGGGCGTCACACATTGTACCCATGTGGGGAATCGAACCTGGGCCCTCGGCGTGACGAGCTAACGCTTTAACCACGAGGCTACCCCACTGCCCCACGAGGACAAAGGTTTTCACATTAGCTTGCCTCCCACGGAATCGAGTTCTATTCCCAACATGGTGTGTCCATGGTGTGCCCATCGTGCAATGGTTGTCATACAGAAAACACGGCAACGAACTTCGCCTCGCATTCCCCATTAAAACGATCAGTCCAAACCTCGTGCAACAGTGATACAAAATTAATAAAAAAAGGTTTGACTAAAAAGTCAATGTCGCATTTAAGTTTTCATTCAAGCGTTCCTGTTAGACGTCAAGATCTTTTTCGTAATGCGATTATATTTCTTTGTACATATCAGTCAGAAATTCCCTATTAAACGATCAATCCAAATCCCTTGCATCAAAGAAACAAATAACAAGTCATTTTCAGATTTTACTTTTTACAAAAGCGTTCTTGTTACAAGTTAATGTCTTTCTAACAATGCCATCATGTTTACTTTGTACACACTATTAACCTACATTTATATAACCTAATGTCAATGAAGGGACACGAGGACACCACAGGACGCTCAGCTCTCGAGTATACACGACAACAAGTAAATGAAAGCAAATCAGCCGCGGAACATTAATGTTCCCATTGTCAGCGGTCGAGATACTTCGCCCACAGCAGGACACGCCTGTGGTATCACTGGTAGTCGCTGAACCGTAATAATGACGGGTCTCAGGAAGGATAGGTGCGTAGTTTCGCGATGTCAAATTAACATTACCGTATTTATGACAGTTACTTGTGTTCAGAGATTAGATACACCCAGCTTTATTTGTGATGTGCGAGCTCCAAGACCACACACGGTTCATGACTGTGTTCATATTATTTGTTCTTGGAGAAAACAGGCTTATCTGGAGCTGACGTTCCCACGCCTCTGAGAGGATTCCAGGGAAGAACTGATTCACAGAAACCATTGCTGGTCGCAAGAGTCGACCAACTGGATCATGTGTTCAGGATTCATGGCTTGGTTGAATGCTTGTTTTCGTACTCACCTAATCGTTGCTCACAATATCGATCACTGGATTGTCCGACCCACACTCGATTACTTACAGGCCGCTGGAATATTGCTGAGTTAGGCGTGAAATAACAAACAAACAAACAAACGGATCGACGACGAGCCCATTTTCATATTTCTATTCAGTGTAGAAAAACAATGTTCACAAAGTTGATGCATTGAGATTAAAAAGTGTCAAGGAAACTGAAAATATTTTCTTTTTTTAGGGCAGGCGTTGATCACACCACCCTCACATAAACTACTCTCTTGAAGTTGAGCATCCCGTCTAAAAACTTGAATGGATGTACTGTAGCTGCGTAAAAGACAATGTCATGCTTAAAAAATGTGCCTGCGCAACCAAATAATTTACGATCACCTCCGTGGTCTAGTGGATTAGAGCACCTATTCAGATAGCGCAAGGTCTGTGGTTCGATCCCTGGCAGCATCACACCAAAAGCGTTAAAAGAGGTTACCCTGCCATTTCATCTCATCCCACCTTCAAATATGTACGCTGAAATTGGTCTTTGCGTATCCGCAAATGCTATTATACTATTAAACAGGTTTTCGCAGTCTGTCGGAATACTCATTGCCTGAGAACCGCGTCGTTTTACGTTGAGGATTTAAGGAATGTTTCCAACAGAACTGATGTCGCCCAGCCCGTACTGTCTTATGGTTAAATAGGGTTCATGTTTGAACACGCTTGTTCCACCAGTGAGTGGGTGAAGTTCGTCTAACGCCGCAGTCAGCAATATTTAAACTGCATACAGCAGTCTGTTCAAGCTTGAACAACCTAGTGACAGATAGTAAGAACAACGATCCCCATCATTTCTTGCCCCATGACCTGCAACCAGCCAAGTCTCCGGGCCTGGCCATCTAATCCTCTATTTGACGCTACGCCGTCTATTAATTTTCGCGAGAGCCCTTGACTCGGCGTCTATTAAAGACCTGGCTGGTATAAGAGACCCAGGGTGTTTTAGAGGAATTATAGAGAATTGTTTCACAGTTCATATGGGGGTGATCGATCTGCAGCCATTTTGTTATGAATCGATATTTATGTATTCAAACGCACGTTTTTTGTGAAAAGGATTAATATATTTGAAAGGGGTTTCCGTAGCAAAAAGGAAACTTCTTTTTGACCAATCAGAATCAAGCATTCATCAATGTCATGGTAGAATCCACTTTAGTCGGCCTTACCACACTCTGATTACGGCTTATTCGTCTGTTCAAGAATGATTTATGTTTTAAGTCATTCTCAGAGGCGATTACAGCGCTAAGATCATCGCCAAAAGAAAGTGTACAATTAAAAATTGGATTGGATAAAAATTAGAAGCGTTATCAAAACGCTACTAGGCTGAAAACAGTCCCCGAAACATTGCAAAAATAGAGTCCAAAACACAACTATGATACCTGTATCAAGTACCAGTACATCACCATCGAATAACCTTTCTTGTTTGGGAATAACGATAGTCCTAAAACTAATTTTGAACACGACCCTGATCTATTTTAAAAAGAAGGATTTGACTTTGCAACGAGAAACAGTTTAACGCAAAAACATCACGAAAGTTGTATCATTTTAAAAGGATTTACCGAAAGTGTTAAAGAGATATGTTCAACTAAACTTGGCAATCTATAAAATTAACACGACTCTATAATAACAAACCCTACTTCAACCCTATCGTTCTATCCTCATATATTACCCTTCAAAAGATGCACGACTGTAAGAGACAATTAATGTCCACAGAACGTCTTTGAATATCGAATGCGCATGTCACTAACCCGTTAAATAAACGTTATATTTACACAAATCCAAACCCTTTAAGTGCGGATCAATCCAATGCTTTCTTATATACCACATACTAAAATAGACACCGAATAGAACCGAGTATTTCTAGATCCCCCCCCCCCCCCCCCGGGATATAATCACAATCTTGCGCATACAATGTTGCGGTTAAACACAAATTCGTACTTCGTACTAAAAATGACTGAAATGGATGCAAATACAAATGTGCGAATTAGTTGGGGATTTAGGAATCCTTGAATTATCAGTTCATTGAAAATGTTGATACACTGATGCCAAGCTACAACATCATATGAAATCGATACCAAACTTCATATATCCATGTGACTTGCGTTTCCATTCAGAACATAAGAACAACTAGACTAAAACCAGAGTTAATGCAACCTGTCCCTTGGGATTACATCTTTTTAAAGTCAGACATTTACGATACGATACACAGAAAAACTGTTTTAATAGTTCAAATTGCCCCAATACTCACAGACCTTGAGATGAAGATGACCTTTTGGTCTAAATCGCTGCAACTCAGTGTGCAGAGATGCGTCCTTTGGATGACAGTATCCGTTGTTTGTGGAATCAAGTCCGTTTCACCAAACAACAATGAATCTTATCACGTTCCACCTACAGTAAGGTGACACATCGTCGCATCATTTTGATGTTGTTAAACAGGCAATTAATTCACACACCTATATTTTGAACATGTCCCAAATAAAGTCCCCGAAACCACTCTGCAGGTGAGGTGCAAGTCGTCCACTTTAAAATACTCAACTCAACGTTACGAGGCACCGTTAACCTTCAAACTCATCATCGCAGGCGACATCGACACAAACCGAAAGACCGAAATGTAATTGTGGGCTTTCCTTCCTCATTAAAATAACCCGCCATAATATAACTGAAATACCGATTAAGGCGGCGCAAAACACCTTTAAAGATGCTGAAATTAATTGGTAAATGTACGTATACAGTCACTTGATGGCACGATGGTATTGCGGATGCAGAAGTATTCTCCTTAGCTTTCAGCATAGTGGTTCGATTCCTTGACCTAAACTGATGTTTCGGTCAGCACCCATGGTCAATGGTTTTAATGACTTTGTAAACGCTGACTACCCACATCCTTTGTCGTATTTACTTCAATACTAATATGAGTCACACACTTGTTATTTCGGACTCCGCTTTCTTCTACCACTGCGGTGGTGTGGCCTTGTGGTTAAAACGTTCGTTCGTCACTCTCATTGGTACAATGTGTGAAGCCTAATTCTCGAATATTGCGGTGTAAAACCAAACTCACCCACTCACTCTAAAAAAAATGGTTATCCGACTAAATCTAGAAAGGAGTTTTCAAGGGTACATACCACGTCCACAATAACTGCAAATATGGTAACCCATCCACGGCAACTATGCCAGGAATACCATATCATATTTTTCTCCTTTTTGTGCGATATGTTTGGGATATTATGTACAGCGAAACCCCGTTAATCTAAACTCCCGTTAATCCGGAAACCTTACCCTAGGTTTTGTTCAATCACAAATATGCAACGCATATATCGACATATTTGGATTCTTTAACCGAAACGATTTTAGTGGAAACTTTATCTTCCGGATTAACGGAGTTTCACTGTATGAAGGTGTACCTGTCATGTTTGTACGACGCTGTCGACTGCGACGAAGTAGTCCAGATACCTAGAAAAGTGAATGGTCGTCCTCGTTCCTTGTTCTGTCTGTTGGAAAACCGCCGCCGTCGCCTTAAGGCGAAGGATGTCATCGGGGAGCATGTCATAAACTCGCAAAGATATTTTCTTCTTTTGTGGAATTCTTTTCTTTTTCTGTCGACAAAGTTTTTATCTACATATAATAATCAATACTGGAAAATACATACATGTGATGACTACCACTCTTTCATTAATCTAATCGCAAATGATGATTATTAAAATTCATTTTGAAACTGTCCCCAACAGAATTTGCTCAACTTTCATTTCATTGGTCAACCAAAATGATCAGAAGCAACAATCTCATTGGATGCTCTGATTAGCTCGGTGACACCTCGCACTAGTGTCCTGACGTGTTCATGAGTTCTTTTGATGCTTCATAAACAAAAGTCTTTCCTAATCAACCAAAGCTATATGGCAGGTTGCATGTGAGCGAGCGTTAAGTGCCTCGCGACATGTGGTGCTGTAAATTAACCAATCTAACAAAGACAGGACAAGCCACCCATGCCGAGGAATACTGGACAAGATACATTTCTTCCCAGGGTGGGGGCAACTATGACAAGTATTTGTGAGTCTTGCCACACCTAGTCGTCAGAAAAGTACATTTCTCTTGATGTTCTTTTCCGTCGAATTGGTTTTTATACCTTGATAAACAGTGTTTCAGTTATACCGCCATGAGGTCTGAGGTGTTTATTAGTTCGTAAAAGTCACAAACATCGATGTTGTCAATCCTACAAACATAATCAGGGCGAATCTGGAATTCGTACCAACGATCAAAGTATCCTTGCACGCCTGAGTCACGCAACTCTGCACACCCAATTGCAGCGCTTTAGACGACAGGACCACTTTTACCCCCAGTTTATATGTATGATATTGTATCAAATATTCATTTTAAATCATAACATGGATAGTGTTATGGATGCGATAAAGCAATCCGATAAGCTAGGCATCGACATCCGATAAATATGCAAATGAGGCCGTATAGAAGCTACATACAGTAAACTACGGTTTTAACGAACTCAAAGGGACCACTAGATTTAGTTCGTTATATCCGTCAGTTCGTCATAAGCGTGTTCGTTGTAAACGTAGTTTACTGTACATCAATGCAGCATCTGTTTGCTCATTAAACTATTGATTCATGTTCTCCGTAGCTTGAGATAGGGGTTGCCAAATGTATGAGTGATTCCGTAGGCAAAGATTGCTGTAAATCATTTGCATTATAACTGAGCAGATCACCCAAACATTGTATTCATATGCAATTTCTAAAGTTACTTCATTGACTGAACTTACATTTCTTTATGTTAAACATATATGAAAAAGAAATTATTGCCCTTGTGTGCTTCCGTATCGTAAATATCATTTGGGACAAAATATATTTATCATGCTCGCCCAAGGCTCATAACACAATTTATGTTCCTAGCAAGTGATATTTACGATACAGAAACACACGAAGGTAATAATCTTTTTCTCCTATAAGTATATATACTACACTCACTCACTCACAAAAAAACATCGTTCATATCAGTATATTTGTCATTGGTGTTCAGCTAGAAGTATTGTACCGCTTCAATAACTTGAAGTTCCTTAAATCGTTTTGATATGTAGACCGTTACATAAACGTTTTCACTTTTTCGGAATCTCCCCATGATACTTTCGAAAACAAAATAATTTTTGGGAGGGTTATTTTCTGAAGAAGGTCATTTAACAATCTTTAACTACTCATTGTCTAACATGGCGGAGACACCCTGTGATGATTGTTGAAAGAAAACCAGTGTTCCTATATTGTTGGATGAGAAAATAGACACTAACTAAAGAAGACGATCTTATTTGGAAACAATTTAGTTTTGCATTTTCTTACGTTAAATCAGTATCGCTTCGAAAACCACCTAAACCCAAATAATTGATTGGCTCAGGTTTAAAACAAGAAATAACATCAAGAACAAGAACTTGCAGTTTATTGATTACAGACATCTTGTATTGTTCGAAATGGTTGTTCAAATGTCATCCTATCCGATTATACTTCAGGACATGTTCGGAACATGCTTCGGATCTTTTCTCAGACAAAAACAGAAGACAATTTCTCTAATCCTGGAGATTAGAGTTTTGTCGGTGGCTATGAGCTTTATCACGAGCGTCCGTAGTTTTATCTGCTCAGAGAACAATACGGTGATGGCTATAGACCTGTAGACAACATGGGGGACTCCTTAAAGTACTGATGGGTCACACATGGGAAGTGTCATTCTTCTAGAGGCAGGCAGGCAGGTGGAAATCACGCAGGAACAGCCATACTGTCGATGTTCACACAGCAACAAATGAAATATATGCCGTTTGTGGCCCCTGGAGCGGGTAACGCCTACCTCTTATATCAGCCCCTACTGGGCCGGGCGTAGAACAAGCAGCACACTTGATGATGGAAATCGCATGGCCGAAATGTGGCCATAAAGATGGACATTATAAGGATTCATTACACAATTTACATTTGAACCTGATAATATTTGCTTTTTATTGCCTAAATTATTTTTTATATTCAACTTTACATTAATGTTAATTTATTTTATGTTTTGATCATGATCAATTTTAATTATGATGTTTTGCATTTTATTGTGATAGCCCAATGGTAGGGTTGATTCAAACAACTTGTGAATGCTAAAAGGCGAATAGATCATGTCATGTTCAGTATTGAGAGAATGAGGGATATTTTACAGTAGTTTTATATCAGCATCATGGCGGCATGTACATAAACCGGAGGTTGACATCATGAGCAAACGATCCACGTCGTTTAAGCATGGGGTACAAAGAAGCTAGTCTGGCCAGGTTATCTTCCATTTGTCATTCACCAGATCAGGCCAACATTCAAGGCCTGCGTGGAAGTGTTTTGGGTACCAGGGACCGATCTTCACTAAGCGATACTTGCAGTAGGATTGTCAAAATTCATGGATGAAGTACGGGAGCTATGTATGATTCTATGCATCACATAAAAGGACATATGCTTGTCGTAAGAGGCGACTAACGGGATCGGGTGGTCAGGCTCGCTGACTTGGTTGATGCTTGTCATCGATCCCAATTACGTGGATCGATGCTCATGATGTCAATCACTGGGTTGTCTGGTCCAGACTGTATTATTTACAGACCGCCGTCATATAGATGGAATAAAGCTGAGTGTGGCGTTTAACAACAAATAAACAAAGAAACAAACACATAAAAGGAATTGCGTATTGTGAAATCTTTTGTTGTGGTCCTCTCTGTGACACCCCTTTGGAAAATGGACAAACTTGAGGGACGTGCAGTGACTATGGGTAGCCCAAAGACACCAAAGGCTTGAATTAGCTAATTAGTGGCGGCGATCATCTATAGTCTATAGTGTGGAGAACATTTCCAAATTTGACGCATCAGTGACACAATGTCCGATGCAATTTCCTATTTTGACTTATACCATATGTTCCCGTGTCTTTTCAGGTGAACAACTGACTTGCCTTGGCGTGTATTTGTGACGGGGTCAACTGGTGGGGAAGGACACGCTCACCTTTTCTCGAACACCTGGTATCATCACTATTTCAAAGCATGAACACGTGCTCATGACATGGTGGAAATCGTACAATCGACACTGCTTTAAGCAGAGATCGCTTATGAATATAGAAACGGTTTGGACACTTTTATTTCCACATATAATGCATGGCAAAGACTTCTAACATTCGACCGCTTCCGTGGTCTAGTGGTAGAGCGTCCGCCCGGAGAGTCGTTAAAAGATGGTACTTGTTGTTAGCCTGTCTGGGGCTCTGCATTAAGGGGCTAAAACAAGGACTGGTCGGCACGGAGTCAGTATATTGTGTCTGAGAGGGGTATTCATGTTAAACTGCGGCATGGTGTCTAAGTGGGCTAGCACTATAAAATCGGCATTAGTCCGGACCAGTACACACAGCCAAACACACATATGTGGTCTGTCATTGTTGCTGACGCCTTGCACTTGTGTGCAACATATACCCGCGGAAAAGCTGCCTCACGGTAAATCCCGTAACGTGTAAATATTGCATTATCGTACATGTAGATAGCTACACCGTTTGTACAACATTTGCACATCTGAGCATGTATATAGTCTCTGACAGCGATGGCTCAAACCTCTGACGACGAGCTCGTCTCTACTGTCATGGCGTCCCAGGTCCAACCGATCTGTGTTGAGATTGACCATGGTGATAATGGCCGTAAACGACGCTATGAAGAACAAAGCGATGACAAGGCGGACAACATGAATAAGAAAAACAAAGGTGAGAACGAAGTGGATAGTGATGATTTACTTTTACGTGACGATGCACGACTTAGTGACGTGGTGAGAGCTATGCATCTTTTGACCACAGCACTCACAACACGTATGGATACCTTTGAAGATGGTATGATCAAGAGCATTCTTTTGACAGAAAACTGAAAGAGGTATTGGAGCATATGAAGACGCAACTTTTAGTGTTTCAGTCATGTGGTACAGTACTGTATGCATGTGGAGACTTCAATAGCAGGGTCTCAGACCTGAATGATTTTATAGACGGCGTGGACATGCTACCCGAAAGGCAGGTCGTAGATTATGTGACTAACGCCAATGGGCGGAGACTGATTGAATTTCTGATAGATGCAAATTTCTGTATACTGAATGGAAGACATACAGCATCCAATGACTTTACCTACATACATGTATCTACGAGAGGTGCCTCCGTAGTTGACTACTGCATGATACCATGGGAATCTCGGTTTTTAGTTGTTTTCAGGTACTAAGACCTTCAGCGTTAATAGATGGCGCTGGTGTTGAACAGGTAAATACAGACTTACATAGTAAGCTTGATCACTGGCTGTTACAGTGGTCAGTGTAATGTGATGCTATTAATATTGGCTGTCAGGTAGCAGATACGGTTTATACAACACGCTTTATTACATCTGATATACCTTCTGACTTTTTAGCATCTGATAAATGTATAGCACACTTGAATGTCATCATATTTCCGCTCGAGAAGTCGACCCAGTCACAGAGTGACCTAGATCTAGGTGCGGAGACTCTCACAGACTTAGTTCAGAGAGAGAGATGCATGAAAAGTTAAAGCCACGTTCTCATGTTGTTTTCGGTGGTAAGAGCAATAAAAAGCGTCGTGTGAGAAAGCCATGGTGGAATGATGACCTGCGTGTGTTGTGGGATGACATGTGCGAGGCAGAGAGAAAGTGGTGTAAATGTAAACGCCCTGGTAATGAGAGAATGTTTCTGAAACAGTTTTGTTAGAAAGCGAAAACATTTTGACAAAGTAGTGCAAAATTGCTAAACGAATGTATGCGAGAAAGGAGAGTAAACGGTTGGATGAAATGTGTGAGGATAATAATAGAGAGTTCTGGAAGAAGATTGGTAAGATTGGGGTAGGTGGGGAGAGACAAAGACAGATGAGAGTGGTTTTAGAGGATGGAAATGTATCTGAGAAATGGAGTGATGTACTAGATAAGTGGAAGAAAGATTAGTGTAAACTGTTGAATGGTGACGTCAGGATGCAGAATGTTAAGTGTGACAGTGAGACTGGTGACACACATGTGTTGTTCCACGCTAAGATTACTCTCTTTGAAGTAACTAGAGCGGTTGATTGAAGCCACTATGGCAATGCTCCTGGTGTTGACGGTATCCCGATGGAATGTCTTAAATCACAAAATGTTATTTCGGCTATGCACAATATTTTTTATATCTGTTTTTGCACAGGGAAAATCCCTGCATTATGGTTAAAGGGCATATTAACCCCACACCAAAGCGTTCTACTTTAGATCCTTCGGATCCTTTATCGTATAGAGGATTGACCCTCACCAATTCCATGTACAAATTATATTCGTAATATTTTAAATAACCGTCTGCTGAAAGCACAAGAGCTCTAAATAATGCCCAAAATAGGTCAATGGTCAACTACGGATCATATTCACTCTGTTTGTTCTTTTATTGAAACAAGAAAATGTATTAAAAAGACACTTTTTCTGCTTTTATTGACTTTCATAAAGCGTATGATAGCATTAACAGAGGTGTGCTGTGGGAGAAATTATCTAACATTGGTGTGAAAGGGAAAATGTTTCTAGCACTTCAATCGTAATATGATAATGTGAAATGCAGTGTACCTATAAATGGTATGCTTACACTCTGGTTTAATGTCAATCGGGGTTTAGAACAAGGATGTTTTCTCTCGCCAATTCTGTTTTTTTATTAATGATTTGCTTGACAGGCTAAATGAAACTGGTATTTGTATTTGTGTTGATGATATTACTATTGCAGCCTAAGCATATGCTGATGATCTTATTTTTCTTGCAGAATCGGCAGATGATTTGAATAGTCTATTACATGTTATGAATACATGGTGTGTTGATAATAGTATCCTTATTAATAATGACAAATCCAAGATTGTACAGTTTAGAAATGTAAGCGTTCCAAGAACTACATCGTTTTTTTTTTAAACATTGGTAAGTCTGTTTTAGATATTGTTGATAATTATCTAGGCCTCCTGCTCACGGAACATCTTGACTACAATGCTATGGCAAAAGCAGCAGCTAAATCGGCTAACAGAAAATTAGGTCTTCTTATATGTAAATATAAGGCAATCGGAGGTATGCAATCCACTACTTATTCGAAATTGTATGATACGATGGTGTGGCCAGTCTTGAGTTATGGGGCATCTATTTGGGGTCATCGTGACATTTCTACTGTAAATGCCGTTCACCATCGTGCTTTGAGATTTTTCTTAGGGTTGGGGAAATACGCTCCAAATGTTGTTGTTAATGGAGATATGGGATGGATTCCTCCGATAGTTAGACAGTGGATGTGTATTGTTAGACAGTATTGTCGTTTTACTAAAATGTCCCTTAGATTAAATAAGTATGTTTTTATGGGGTCTGAACGGTATGCTGGTGGACGTGTGAAAAACAGGAATTTTCGTGTGAGGGCAAAGCTGAACGAATGGGGTCTGAATATTTCTGAGAATGTTAGCGTGAAAAGTGTAGTTGTACGTGTGCATGATATATGCATTGGAAACTATGTGTCTGATTGGAATGAACTATTATGCAAGCCTGGCGAAGAACGGGTGGTAATAAATTACATACGTATAGAATGTTTAAAAATGTGTATGGGTGTGAAAGTTATGTAAGTATGTATGTGCCTCGTTCTTACCGCTCTGCCTTTTCCAATTACGATCAGGCTCCTCTAAAGTTGAAAACAGGCAGATATACGAACATGACTGGAAGAGACTGTTTTCAGTGTAAAGAAAGTATTGAGGATGAATGTCATGTATTGATGGATTGCCCTGTGTACGATGATTTGCGAGAAAGTTTATACGAAAACGTCAGTTTTAGCTATCCCAAATTCCTAGAGTTATGTAATACTGATAAAGTTATTTTACTTTCTAAATATTATGTATACTTTACAGCCCAAACCTGCTTTTTAATTCTCCAACGAAGAAAATGTATTTTATATGTTTAGTAACTGGTAGTATATTTTATATACCTTTTTACACTAATATCTTTATGTTATATATACTGTGACATATTTTTAATCTCCCGTAACCCTTAACGGGTCGCTCACTTATATGTCCTGTCATATGTATCTATGTAAATATTTTTGGGAGGTGAGACTCAAATAAACAATCTGTCTGTCTGTCTGTCTGTCTGTCTGTCTGTCTGTCTGTCTGCATGTCGCTGTATAAGCGCAATTTTGAACGTGTCGTTGAACCTCACCTTCGACACAAGCCTTATAAAAAAGACCATACCAGATTCGGCGTTACGTCACAGCATAAAACGTGACATAACGTGGATGTCCATAGCTGTTTCGTGCCCCGGCGCCGCAAGGCACTGTGTACCATTTGGGCATGCTGAATTCTTATGATGGTGAGCTCAACCCCCTGATCCACCTTGAGAATGTTTCTGGGTTTTTCAGCACCATACCCGTGCTCGTGGGTTTCACCAAAGAAGTAAACGTCTAAATCCCGAATCAATTCTGGCTGTTTTCCAGCATGAAGCTGACAGGCCGTGATATAATTGAAATATGGTTCCAAGCGAGGTCAACCAATCTCACGCACTCACTAACCCCAACAACGGACTTGTGAACGACTTGAATCAAACCTGCATAGACCCAAGCCTCCAGTCCTCCACTGCTGCCACCGAAGATGGCCTTTCAAGGTCGGTACACCGACACAGGTAACTACATACGTCATTCTGTCCTGGCGGACATTTTCAACAAACAATTTGGATGGTAGATTTATTTGTTTCGAAAATTATGTTTCAAACTGTCATTGTACATGATCTACAACAAAGATAATTTGGAGGGGGGGGGGGGGGGGGGGGGTAAAGGTTCCTGACTTTCCGATTCCAAAACAATAATTTCAATGATTATTTCATTCGCATTTACATCACCAAAACCAGAAATACATATTAAGCATCCAGCGTTTCGTGTGTGCATGGTGGGTTTGCATTGCCTCAAAGAATCTTGATTTTCAGTTGTTAATGAATAAAAATATTCGATTTAGGAATCCCGTCGACATTAACTACAGACTATGAGTGAGTGAGAGAGTGAGTGAGTGAGTGATTTAATCAAGCGTTATCAAGTTGTGTCAGCTCCAGTTTAGAAGAAAGACCAACTTGGCCAAAGCGGCGGGTGTTTTCCACTTTCGTTATAACCAAGTACTATAGTGCTAACAGTCACGATCACAATAGACACTGGATTCGAACCGACAACCTGCGGATCCTTGTACGTCCAGGGTGCCGTTGTACAAAGCGATCTTACCTCTAAGGAGACCGTACCTCCCATACTTAACATAGACTTACGACAGTCGTAGCGCTAAGCTCAACACTCTTCACTTTAGTATCATGCAATTTGGAAATCTCATCAGTTTATTGGATTTTGCGAGGAAAAAAACACCCTGTTAAATGATTGTTGTCCAATTTCATAATGATTTAAGATGAAAAACTCTTTTTCTTGATCATATGCCTTATGAGAATGTTTTAACAAGTGAAAACAAAATTGTTTTGTTGCTTTAAGTCTAAATCAATTGTTTTACTGTTGACGTGTGAATCAAACAGACGACGGTGTGTTGTGTTGAGGCGAATGCTCTTGTGTAATATAAGTGTTAGTATAATCTCATGGGGTATAAGAGTAATATAGTCATTTGTTTATAATACCTGCATGTCTATTGAACATGATTAGAAAAAGACATTGTCAATTTCCACATTCAAATTAACAACGTAAATAATATATTATATACCATCGGGTATTGTTCATCAATGCAAACTGTTGACGTATATTTCTTTTCCTTATTTTAAATGGATCTGTACATTGACGCCAAAATTCAGAATGTCACTATCTCAAAAGACTATATCGTGAGCATGTATTTAGGAATCATATTATGCACCCATTTTGAATGACGAGCAATTAGAGCAGTCTGTTAAGAAATTATGTATGTATATATTTTTCAAGAAATGTGAGTAATATGCTCATGTCCTTGTATTGCTATCGGAACTTATAAATGATAACACACCTATATTTTTTAAGTTTTTAAAAAGTTTATTAAAACAATAAAAACAAAATCTGCACTGTCTATGGAACTCTCTTCAAAATCAAAACAAAATTATTTTTTTAATTTGTAAAATGAAGAAAATCGCATGATAGTGTGTCATATAAAATATATGTCAAATTTTGTTGAAATAGTGTTCAAAGTAGAAAAATAAACATCACTGTATTATAATACATATGTACAATTGTAACGTAAATAACAAAAAATAAGGATTTCAGCGATTATAAAGTCATTAGCCATCTCGTCACAAGATGTCACAAAATCATCATATACATGATATAATATATACACTTTACATGAATATGGAACGACGATCACCTATGCTTGAAATGTATATAATATATCATTCATTTTAAAATATTGCTTCATAAAGGTTATATTTAACATTGTAATAGGATAGTGCACACGTGTAGCAATATTTTTTCAATAAAAAAGGCATTCACTAACTGTTTCATATCATTGGTAGAAACAGTTAATATCATTAAAAATAATCCGGTAAATGAAAACATACCTTCACATTTGAAGTTGCCAAAGTCAACAAGGTTCTATTTCAATTATTTTCCTGATAATAAACAAGTCAAATATTGACTGTGATTGGCACAAAATGTGAAGATGTGTTTTGTGTTCTATTATATATGGTTAAAAGTATAGCACTGATAGGATTAACCTTTGAATTGTCATGCTAGATCAATATAATACCAATATATGTCGAGAGACAGTAATATATCCAGTGTAATATATCTATGAATAACAGTTCACAATGCCAGTGCTGAGCGTGGGGCAATCACACCAGTAGCAAAAGCAACAGTCCACATTGCAGGTATCCAGATACCACGTCCCATCAAGCTGGTAGCCAGAGCCGAACTCTCTTGAAACCACAAGCATGTAGCCAGATAAACAATAAGCCATCCAGAATTGAAAAAACGACATCTATCCGCACACAGGGTTTAAAGAAATTTCTCTTGGTAATCATCCTTTTGATTGTCGAACAACGATGTTGGAATTGTATTCCGAAGAAGAAATATATTGCTTCCATGCCGTTTTCCTGTTGTCTTTGACACATGCGACATATATTAACCATCGTGGAATAAATTAGACAAACTTCTGTCTTCTATGCTAATGAATCGCGGTGTCTTCCATTCTGAAACAGAAACAAAATACACAAATGAATATTTTTCATAACGTTCTATACCACTTCCGTGATAACTATCCCTATCGGCTTTCCTTGACACCCAAAGTTAATCTCGTCCAACATTGCGGGGAATCCATATTGGAACTACATCTCGTCACGTGACTTTCAGAACCCAACAAGGCGACAGTCGTGACCCTAATGTAAGTGTTTTTATATGCAGATTCTTTAAATCAAATTGTATTTACTTCAAAATTCAAAATCTAGTTTCAAAATCAGCCGTCATGTTATTTGAATTTTATGCGGCGGGATCTGTCGGCACTTGGCTTAAGTGAAAGTATGTATCACTACGCCCGAGGTATTATCATGCATGAAGCGGAACAAGTCGAGGGGTCCAACATGAAGATGACAAACATAAAAATGAATTGTAAATAAGATATGTAAATTGTAATAATGGGTGATGAAAATAAACCAGTTGCAGTTGTAATAAAGTTTTCCTGTATTAAATATGTGAACTGTATTATACGATATGCAAATTGTAATAATGGGTGATGAATATAAACCAGTTGGAGTGAGAATAACGTTTTCATATCCTAAATATATGTCCCATTATTACTCCTGTACATTAACATGATTCCTACGTACTTACCCTGTATACTCGGTTTGGTGAACTGTTCACATTCGGCCTCGGTACCTCAAACTGAAACAATTGACGGTCAAATAATATACTCTCTCCTTCCTGTATTCTACAAATACATATATTTGTCATGTTACAACTGTTGCTGTGTATGTGTTATTTAGTTAATGAATGTTGTTTCAGATCACTTGAAAGTACTTGTGTTATCAACTCCCTTCTGCGTTTCGTCAGCGATAACATCCACGTCAAGAATGTACTCCTTGGTAACATATTGAATAATTGGACTATATCATTTGAGTAAAAAATGGTTTATTGAGAATTGTGTTGGAAGAGATTTCCGTTATTTAAGTTATTCAAAACACAAACTTACCGGCCCATTTCTTGTAGGCTCCAATACATTGAACATATTTTCCCATGAAAAGTTGGATCTGCTTGTGTCTGGATAAGCGCCTCCGTCTGTAACAGTAAATACATTTTGTTTACATTTCACGTCGTGATAACTGTCTAAATCAATGCCCAAGAAACTAGGACCTATCCTTGTGTCTTCCTTCTTGTATAATAAATAATATTATGGGTTTACAATAAATATTTAAAGATAAAAATACAGATTTGTCTACACCTTTATTTTGCATTATCATTTATCAGCGTTATTGACTAACTGGATGATTAATTAATTAAATTAATAAGGTATTATTTTTGTAAAAATATAATTCACGTTTGTCTCCTCCTGTTTTGCCTTTACTTTTTTAGCATTATTGTCTTATTAATGAGTTACTCATTTTGTAAATTGTCAAGGACAAGTCATGCCTTGATCTTTTTGTGTGATGGTTGTCATGGTTACGTAACCTACCTCTTGGGCTGGAGTAAGGGTACGATCTGTCATCGGGGCCCGGCATATCCTGGAAGTCCGAGCGTCCTTCCAGAACCTTTGGTCGGCCATATCTGAAGTTTTCCCCGCTGTCCTGGGACGCGGTCTCGGAGAGTGTGTGTGGAGAGTACATCATGTAACGAGAAGCACCGAAGTTGCCCTTGGTTGGTAGATTACCCGAGAATGCACTTCTAAAGGCTTGGTTGTTACTGGAATAGATATGTAACACTCATGAACATTTGGTATACATAACCGAAAACATTGTATCTTGGAGGCATTTGATGCTTATGTTGTTTGAAGGTTATAATAGGAATCGGAAATGGTCGTGTTGATCGGGTGAAATCGGGTTGATTCGGGGATTATCGACAGAGCTCGGATTTGATCGGAAATGTCGGTGTTGATCGGATGGGATCGGTGTTGATTGGATTGATTCGGGGAATATCGACTGAGATCGGACATGATCGGATTGGTTCGGGGTCTATCGGATGGAATGAGGAATGGTCGAATGGGTGTGATCATGGATGCAAAGAAACATACCGTTCTTCAACAAGGAAGCGGCGAACAGGCGTGGGCTTGTTTTTGCAACAGCAGACGTATATGAGGATGATCAAGATGATGATGACGACGAGAGCGATGGGAACAGTCAGACCGACAATAAGGGGAACGTTCAGCTCTGTAATATAAGGAATTAATTGTATAAAGATACAATACACAAAAACAAACACTCATTGATATAGAGAAATGAAATATTTAAAAGAATTTTCAGGCCTCTCTAACTGATGTCTTATTCATGTGTTACTTTCATCTACTTTTCACAATTGTGTCGAGAGTCATCTGGTTACGAAACAAGCTGAATGAATGAAGAAAATTACAGAACGAAAAACAGCTACTTACGTTGTGCGGGTAGCTTTCTGGAAAAGAGAGAGGTAAAACAATGTTACACACAGAATTTTCATTTAATGACATAGAGATTACTGCATGGATGTCAGTAAAATACAATATATTTTACGAGTTGTTTTAAAACGTATCTAACGAGCGAAAGAAACATAATCATTGCGAACCGGGATTCGTACATACGATTACCGGTTTCTGGCACGCCCAAGGGACGCAAATCTGTAAAAAGAATTTCAGCGACTTATAAGAGTGGACCACCCGTACGTCTGAGTGTGGATATCATATGTCTGACTGTCGTACCTGACAACTGGCAGTCCGTTCTCAACTTCACAATATTCATCACTTGCAAACGTTCTCAATATCTTCAGTGTATCACATGCATTTCCAGAGGCGGGGACTGTAACAGACAATATATCATCTTGTACCTGAATATACAGTTACAGAAATCAGAAAAATATCAAAGATACTGAAATGATATGTAAATTTATATATTTATGTATCATTAACAATCTCAAAACAGCAATACAGTTGAACCGCGGTAAATAGAGAATATACACCGATCTATTATAGGTCAAGACAAGTTGATACTACTGTAGGGTTACAGTGCCGGTAAGGATTCTTCAGATTCAAGTTAAATACATAGTCGTTACCGATCTACTGAGTTAACAGAGTATAATAATGTTATGATTTCATGTAAAAAAAATTTTTTTTCAAAATTCAATGTGAGTATATGTGTCAGTCCTACAAAATTATAGAACTTACTGGTTTGTCCCTTGTATGTGACGCCTGAAACAGGAAAGGAGGTCGAACCAACTGTCACTGTGGGGCCATCGGCTAAGGCTTCGACAATGGCCGCCGCAAGACTCTGGGTGTTGGTTGTTGCGGTTGGGTTGATATTGAGTTCGGAGTAGGCGATGACGCTGCCGATACTGAAAAGAAAACAAAATCGACAAGAATATAGACAAGAATATAGATAACGTATTCGGATATCACAGTTGTATTCACGTTTCTCTGTGCTTGGCATTTAAACTACACAAGGGCGGTCGGGTAGCCTAGTGGTTAAGGCGTTCGCTCGTCACGCCGAAGACCCGGTTCGATTCCCGACATGGGTACAATGTGTGAAGCCCATTTCTGGTGTCCCCCGCCGTGATGTTGCTTGAATATTGCTAAAAGCGGCGTAAAACCATACTCACTCATTCACTAAACCACACAAACGACAACAACAACAGTCATGTGACTGGTGAGAATGAGTGTGTACGACTTTACGCCGCTTTCAGCAATATTCCAGCATAATCACGGCGGAGGACAACAGTAATGGGCTTCACACATTGTACCCATGTGGGGAATCGAACCCGGGTCTTCGGCGTGACGAGCGAATGCTTTAATCACTGGGCTATCCCCCCACAAGGTTATCCCTCGGTGAGAGAAATGGTTTCGTGAATTCTTTTCGGGAAGTAATATTGTATTCGCCAAAAATAACACAAACGTCGTAGTTTGTTATAAACATTAACGCCATGAACAAACTGTCAAACTGTAGTCATGTCTCCATGTATATTTCCATTCGTAATACGCATGCGCACTATAACCGAATATGATCGCCGACCTTAGGCTGAAAGCGCTAAGCTTGTTGCGTGAACCAACAGCGGCACAAGATTTGGCAAGCACATGCATGTATTGTACTTCTTGCAAATGTTTTTATTCCTTAATTACTTTCTTAATATTTTTGTTTTTATTTTTCATTCCATAGATAGCAAAATTGTCGCGACGATGAATACTGATATTGCCCAAGGAACATGTCACTCACGTCAAGTTGTACACTTTAGCGGGCACGAAGTTCTCTGAAGGGATAGTGGCATTGGCCACGCTATTAATCTGAAACAGATAGAAAATGGTATAGATACTTGCCTCAACAATATGCTACACGTAGTCTTTACATTAATAATATCCCCTACATCTCTATGATTCCCCGAATTTGTATGCAAAATATACATTTATTATGCCAAACTAAAATATACTAAGCTTTTGTAACCGTCATCGTAACTCTTTAAATTCTATATTTTGTCATTGTTGATAATGCTCATGTGCGACCCTTCATGTGCTTTTTGAGAAACAAATGAATAATGAATATTGATAGGCGTATTGCAACACAACTGGATCAGTGAACCTACCGCAGCTTCTATCTGTACGACGAGATCCTTGTATGCCTGTGATGTTGGCCCCTGGTTGATAGCGGCGCTTCGGTCCACATTGAATCGTACGTAGGCACCAAAGGCTTCGGAAACCTCTAAATAATGTAGAATACGTCCATTAATAAATGCACCACTCAAGCCCTTCTTGAAATGTATATCTCCTCAAATTAATGAGAGTTATTTTATTTTAACCTATATTTCAGCTATATCAAAACAATGATAAACTTGCCAGAGAAACCAGTGATTTACACTATCAGGGTACATATATACGATCATCCATTCAGTAATTATGACCGATGTTTTTTTTCTGTCGAGTCTACAGGTCTACACCTACTCAACGAGAGACGATACCACCAATGTATATGTATGTAATAATCTAGAGACTGAAAATGGTTTAGTGGTACTTAAACTCTGATTATCATCAACACATTGTTGAATGATTAAAGATAAATTTATTCTTAATCCGGCATGAAAGATATGCTATATATTTGATATACATACTGACTTGTTAAGATGGAATTTTAACACATCCTTTCACTTACAATACTTTCATTTGATGGACACTATGGCCTTGACCTACTCGACAGATTCCGCTACCATCACAAAGACCGTGACACTTACTTGTGCATGCATTTCCGGTTCCAGTATAACCCGATGGGCATGAGCAGAAGTAACTTCCGGGGGTGTTGTTGCATTCATAGGAACAGTTTCCATTGCTGCTGCTGCATTCGTTGACATCTGAAAATGCAAACCCAGGAAATACAGCGTTCCTTCTCGTATGTGGCGTTCATGAGGACATTCCAGTGAGTTCGTAATCGAACCCGGACATTCGGGTGACGATCGAACGCCTTAACCACTAAACTACCCCACATTCCAGTAGAAATATAATTAAACCTATTGTAAACAGTTCCGAAATGATTCTTATATCCAGTAGATTTGTTTTTATTGTTATCGGTTTATATACATGTACATATTTTAAAGGATATTATTTTAAATAAAACATTTCAATTTAATATATATATATGCTAGTGAGTGAGTGAGTATGGTTTTACACATTTTACTCATCCAGTTAATCGAACCAGGTACCCAAATGCGTTTCTTTTCCCAAACAATCACATACTGTTAGTGGGAACAATATCTAAAGCCCCATGTGTGCCCCCTCCGTGACGTCACTGTAATACTGCTAAAGGGGGAATAAAAACCCAAATATGCACTCAACCGAAAGACTTTACAAGCTTGAGTAACGGTAAACAGGCGGATCTCTGAGACTTACCTTCGCATGTATTTCCAGTCGCCGTGTATCCTGTGTTGCAGTCGCACGCGTAGGAGCCATTGGTGTCCCGGCACGTGGAGAACGTGGCGTTGCACAAGGGGGTGGCGGTGTTCAGGCACTCGTTGATGTTGTTGTCGCATCTGGTGTCGTTCCAGCCGGCACTGCATGTGCACGCCCCATTCAGATTGTTACACGATGAGAAATGGCCCGCGACGCAATCACACTGGGTGGAGCACCCGTCACCAAAGAAACCAACGTTACACGCTGTAAACAAGACGCAACCAAACTTGTCAAGGTTTCTTATATATCCAACGAGACAATTTTAATTTTCATACTTTCTTCAACACTTACAATATTGTTTACCGATCAAGTGTGAAATAATTTGTTTGATCCTCAATACATTATTATGAAAATATACACAGTGTATTTATTTGATGCAAAAGCTCGACAGTAATATTTACACCCAATCACGTCTCAAAACGTCATATCTCATTATATCGACATGTTTAATTTCAAAATATTTTTTGTCGGAGGATTTTTTTTATAAATCAAATACAGTTTGATCCTGATATAGTCATAAGCAACATATTAATATATTCATATTAATATGCCCCCTTATCTCGGTATTGATGACACTTGGACACACAGTTCGTTGCAAACAGCTTCTAAACAATTTTCCACTGACGCTCGCTCACAAGACATGGCCTGAAGTTTACAGATTAAAGATTAAATTTAATGATGGTAGAAAGTCCAAGAATATGACACTCACGGACGCAGGTATTGTTGGAAGCTTTGATGTAACCCCTTGTACAGTCGCACTCAAATGACCCCTGGGTGTCTCGACATTGCTCGTTGCTTCCGGTACATACAGGCGAACTGTTGTTGCATTCGTTGACGTTATCGGTACAAGTGGAGCCTGTCCATTCGGGGTTGCACGTACATGTTCCATTTTGAGGATTGCATGATGTCGTCCTGGTAAAGTCACATGCACAGCTTTGGGTACAATCCGCTCCAAAATGTTTCGAATCGCATGCTGAAAGTAGAAATTGATCACCACTGAAGAGGATATTTAACATTGTTCTCGTGAAATTTATCCCGAGATGTTTATTATGATGTAAAAGTAAATGTGTTAAATTAAAAAATAGCAACCCGATTATTTTATATTATGCAACTGGACTTTTATAGTCAGTTAATTGCCTCGGGAATATGTCAATGGTAATTTCTTGATACATGTATCATGGGTGTGTTTCTGACCTTACGTTTGAATTTTTTCTGCGACTGGTTTCAGCTTTATCACGTTTTGATAACGTTTGTAATGTTTTGGTCAAATCAAAGTGTCAAGTATATACATTGTACTTTCTTTTGCCCTTCAGTAAAGTTTCTTCTGTTTGTAGTCATGCAATGATGCACCATGCATTTCGTGATAAATTATTTTAATTAATTCGGTTTTATGCATACGCGAACAAACATTCCCCAACTGAAACCGTAATGCTCAAGCCATAGCATCCTATAGCAAACTCACCGATACAGGTATCACCGCTCCTGCTGAAGCCGGCAGAGCAGGTACAGGCGTAGGAACCGTTCCTCTCGTTACACACGCCGTTGGTGCCGCAAATGGCGGGGGTGTCTGTACATTCTGCTACGTCATCCGTGCACGTCGTTCCTTTCCATCCAGTCCTACAAGTACAGCTGCCGTCAGTTGCGTTACAGCTGATGGAGTTGGCGGCGTCACAGCTGCAGTTCTGTGCACAGTTGGCGCCATACGTGCCCGCGACACAAGCTAAAACACAACGTCCAATTATCAGCATGATCTGTTCAGTTAGCCATATTATGAGTGAGTGAGTTGGGTTTAACGCGGCTTTGAACAGTATTCCAGTTATATCAGCTTAATGTGGGAGGAAAGCCCTGAGTGATTCAGGTCTCAGACGTATACTACTTTGGTGAAACCCACGAGTAAGGGTATGGTGCTGACAAACCTAGAAACATAGTCAACAAGTCGGCGTGACATGTGAAAGCTTTAACCACATGACTACCCCTCATTTGCAAAAAACGCTAAAGTGCTACACACCGGTCTATCAAAGAAAACTAGCAGAGAAAGTAAGTAATAAGAATCACTATATTGAGGCCTATCAAAGTAAACCAGTAAAACAAAGCAGAGAGCAACCCAAATATGGAAATATGTTCACACTTTAATTAGAAATAATCAGAAATTACAAACAAGACACAAACGTTTTTAAAGCCATTTCTATTTAAAGTGTGTACATATTCCATATGTGGGCTGCTCTCTGCTTTGCTTTATTGATTTACTTTGGTAGGCTTCTATACAGTGATTCGTATTACTTAAGTAAGTGACATGAACTCTCGCTCTCAGTAGAATAGAAACAGGTTTGTCACAAGAACGGCTTTGGGTTATTAAGTATTTTGTCCTTCATTCATTCACTTGATATTGGTTTGCAAGTGTGTCATACATCTTTGTATCAAGTAGAATCAGATCATCTTACCAGTGCACGATGATTTGTCGGCAGCAAGGGTGTAGCCATCGTTACAAGAGCAGCTGAATGATCCCTGAAGTTCGGCACAGTTCTGGCTGCAGCGTTGGGGGGTTTCGTCACATTCCTTGATATCTGGGAGTTAAAGAAACTACATTAACCAAAATATTCTCATCCAAAAAATTCTCGAATCACAAAAATCATTATTTTATATTACTTATATTGCTTAAAGATTGCGTGAGTATGGTTTTACGCCGTTTTAGCACTATTCAAGTAATTTCACAGAGGGGACACAGGAATGGGCTTAACCTGACGAGCGTACACTGCAGCCACTTGATTACCCCACCGCCCCGGTGCTTTATGAGTGACAAGGCTTGGACAAATAACTCAAATATAAGAACCAATAGTTCGTTATAAGCATACATACAACATTTTTCAACAAATGCCCTGGACTGAAACATAAGTTCGTTATATTGGTAGTTTACTGTAATAGCAGCCAGTATACAAATAAAGGGAGGTGAAATGGGATTTTGTGTCTCGTTCCAGATTGTTGCACTCAAATAGCGACGTGTGTGTGTGTGTGTGCGTGCGTGCGTGCGTCCGTCCGTCCGTGCGTGCGTGCGTGCGTGCGTGCGTGTGTGTGTGTGTGTGTGTGTGTGCTCTTGTATTAGTCCGACTAAGGCCGATTTTACAGTGCTAGCCCACTGAAACACCATGCCGCAGATTTACATGAATACCCCACTCAGGCACAGTACACTGACTCCGAGGCGACCAGTCCTTGTTTTAGCCCCTTAATGCCGAGCGCCAGGCAGGGTAACAACAAGTACCATTTTTTAACGTCTTTTGTTATGACGCGGCCGGAGATCGAACCCCGGACCTTTCGCTCTCCGGGGGGACGCTCTACCGGAAATTACTAATACAGCTTTTCCTACTCATGACGAGAGAAACCTACCGTCACAATTCAGGCCGTCTGCGTTGAGGATATAGCCCGGGTTGCAGAAGCACGTGTCGGTGCCATTCTGACGGCGACAGTTTTGCTGACAGGTGGTGTTTTTAGGAGCGGAACAAACAGCACCTTGACCCTCTGAAAAATATAATATAATGGTGTTAGGCATTCACCACAACTTGTATTCCAGCATAATCCACGCTGAATATATTGATCAACTAGCGTACATAAACCCTTTACCATTCCCGAATGTTGTAAACACGTGCTGTAACATTTAGATAAACAATTTGAAACAATTTTCATGGCTAATTCGCAACTCCAAAAAGGACTTCACAGACAGACTGATACACTTGCTCTCAGTACAATAACTAGAACTTTGGTCCTCGGTATTCTGTTTCTGTCGAACTCTGTTTAACTCGATATATCGTTTAAGACAAACTCCTCATCTGTATTCTCTTTGGGAGGACTCCGCATGACTCGGAATATAGTTTAAGACGATGTCACCCTATGGTCCCGACCTACTCCTCAACAGTATTCTGCTTGTGTCGAACTCCGATATATCGTTTAAGACAATGTAACTTTATGGTCCAAATAAACTCCTTATCTGTATTCTCCTTGGGCGGACTCCGCATGACTCGGTATATAGTTTAAGACGATGTCACCCTATGGTCCCGACCTACTCCTCAACAGTATTCTGCTTGTGTCGAACTCCGATATATCGTTTAAGACAATGTAACTTTATGGTCCAAATAAACTCCTTATCTGTATTCTCCTTGGGCGGACTCCGCATGACTCGGTATATAGTTTAAGACGATGTCATTCATTCTATTGTGTCGGATTACTCGATATAAATAATATATTTGGTTTCTAGGATCTTCGGCAATCACTATCTTGCGCGTGATTGTTGTCGTAATGTTGAAACACGGCTCTCGGCTTTCATAGCGTTGTCACGGTGTATCGTATACACGAGTTATGTATCTTAGCAAAAACATTGTATGGTACTGAAAGTCCACAATGATCGCTTGTAATCAGTATATGAACTAAATGTACTTACGAATGCAGAGGGTCGTGTTGGTTGGGTCGATGGTGTAGCCTTCAAAACATTCGCACGAAACACTCCCGATTGTGTTCCTGCAATTCTGACTGCAGCCGCTTGTTCCAAGGGTACATTCATCAATATCTGCGATTTACAAAAGAAAAACATTTCAACGTTGTTTCAAAATTGTTTTAACCAAAATTTGCCAATATTTTCAATTTATATCAGACTCTTTTACCAACGAAATATGAATTATTCTTCTGAAAGTCCCAGATTCCTAGATATTCCTAGAATAATATCGAATTTGCTAATGAAGAGATGCATATTGCATGTTGTTTTGGAGTCCAAAATTCTTTCTTACCGTTGCAGTTTCCTTTCCCTTCAATCACGAAGCCAGCTCTACATAAGCAGGTGTAATCCCCGTCAGTATCCGTACAGTCTTGAGTACATACGTTATCACCAGCGTTTGCACATTCGTTGATGTCTGGGGGATTCAAATATGGTTCAATCAGTTCACAAACATCGCTGAGACAATAATGATTATGATCAAGTTGGATGTATGTTTCAAAAGCACATAGTAATTGTTTAAAAATCGTTAATGGAACCATTTAACATTCTGAAAGAGGACGTCTTTTCTTCTTTCTTAATTAGATCGGGGTCGCAACATGTAGAGATGCTGCTGCAAACCTATAGACAATATTTCTGTTGACTCAAGAAAGATGCTTTGGTAAGCATATTCCTATAATCAGCATCACTAGATATTGAAGTAAGCTACTATTAAAATATATGGAGCGATGTGCTACTGAATAAGAACGCTGCAGTTGAAGGATAAACTCACTGTCACAGGTGGTGTTGTCAGCAGAGAGGGAGTAGCCAGATCGGCACCGACACTGGTAAGATCCTGGAAGGTTCTGGCAGTCGGAGTTGGCCTGGCAGGTGACGGTGGAGCACTCGTTCTTGTCCTGGTCACACTTGTCCCCGGTCCAGCCGCTGTGACACACACAGCCGCTCGTCTTGTCACAACTAGCGGTACCCAGAGGAGCGCAGCCGCACTCGTTGGCGCAGTTCAAACCCCAGTGGTTGTCGTTGCAGGCTGAAAAAACCCCGAATGATTGAATAATGTTTAATGCAACAGCCTAACATACCATAGAATATGTCGCTAATGGCATGTGCAACGAACGACGCTGGCGAGTACGATGACCACACGCGGTAGCCATCGAATCATATGGTAGTATTTCTGTATGTTTAAAGAGTCCTTCTCTTCTCAAGTAGGTTTGCATCTAAATCGCTGCGCTTGCCACATTAATTGCTCTTGTGAGCATCATGTCATACTGAGAACCGGGAATCAACAGGTCCGTGGGTGCAAATGGATGGCATCTGAAGTCGGCTGCATAATGGTCTGCGAAATCATATTGAACCCCCAACTGACACATGGTGACTTCGTGAACGTTAGAAGATTTTAACGCCGCTTTCAACAGTATTCCAGTTATATCACGGCGTGTCAGCTTACCGTGGGAGGAAAGCCCGGAGTGATGCAGGTCCTAGACGTTTACCACTTCGGTGGAACCCAAGAGCACGGGTATAGTACTGACAAACCTAGAAACATAATCGGGGCGAACCAGGATTCGAACCCACAATCATACATTTCTGGCGTGCCCTAAGGCTTTGCACAGCGAATGACGGCGCCTTAGATGACTGGGCCACCCGTGCCCCCTGTATTCAGCAGAGATTCAGGGAGCATGTACATACCTATACATGACCGTTCGTCGTTTTGAAGTTTCTGCCCCGCGAGACAAGAGCAGTTGAATCCTCCGGGAATGTTTCTACACGTGGTATTGTCTGTGCACGTGTTCATTGAGCTGATTTCGCATTCGTTGACATCTGGTTACAAGACATAAAGCACTATAGAACAACTTGGACAATTACATAACAAGTCATGTGAGACATTTTAAATAACTTAGAGCAAATACATTTTTAATTGAGGAAAACATGGGCATGACGTTTATATAAATTACACTTCTCTTTTTACTTCATTGAGGACATTTTGAAGTTACCTTAAGAAATACGCATTCTTTCGCCATACACCTGAATTATCTTACCGTCACACGCCATATTGTTAGAGGCTAGAATATAACCTCGGTTACATCTGCATGATGGGGCGCCGTTCTCAATGACACAAAAGTCTTGGCATCCGCCTAGGCCAAGACAAGGGTCAGATCCTGAAAGAACAAAACGGTTTTTTTGCTAGATGACGGAACACTCCAACAAAGATTGAGAGAACAATATAGCTGATATATGCCACTGATATTTGAAGAGCTGTTTGTTTTCCTTCAAGTTTAAACAATATCGGAGGTAGAGGGCACAAAGAATTTTCCTATCCACGTCTTCAGCTTCTGTAGCACGACGAAACGTCAACACCAGAGAATAATCAGTCTCGGTTATCAGCAAATGATTTCTTTGCGTGTTAAAGGCGAAATAGCGATGAAATTGATATAAATGGATCTCTGAAAACCAGTGATGACAACAGGTGTTCGCGAATTGGGTAATGTCCTGCATTACTAGCTTGGAACAATCGAGTCTTGACCAGACCAGATGAGTCTTGTATGACAAGACAATCAAGACCGTCCATTCTCTCCACCCTTAAAGCTTGCGATGGTGGGCCTCGTTCCACAAAGTGATCATTCCTCTTCGGCTATCGTATTTCCTATATACTTTTGGCGTAGAGGTAGGGTAGCTTTTTAAACGCCCCAGGGGGATTAACATTCCGACCTCGTGCAATTCAGCTCTATCAGTTGAATGTTATCAGAACAAACCTATTGATAATACTTTTTGGCGGTCATTCGGGCGTACGTTGTAGGTGTGTATCTCTTACCGAATTTTCTGCACGTTTTTCTGTCGTCGTTGAGTATGAATCCGTCGTTGCACCCACAGTTGTAGCTGCTGGGGGCGTTGTTGCACACCTGATCACATCCTGCCTGACCCGTGCTGCACTCGTTAATATCTTAAACATCAAACATACTCATCACTAACATGGGTAACATATTGTGACATATTGTATGCACTAACCAACTTTCATCTCCTCAAAATGAAGCTTTTGTCAGCCTTGTCTTCTCATTTTAAGGTTTTTGGCAGCGTTGCTTTATCAAAATGATGTTTTTGGCAGCGTTGACTCGCAAAATATCAGTTACTCTCAGGGTAGATATTTAATCTGAAAGGATATTAGAGAAACAAGCGCATTGCCATGTTTATTAACACATGTATCTGACATGGGTATGCATATTAATGAAACGTGCCAGTAGGTATCCATAAATATATAATCGTGTACTTTACCTTCGCATTTTTCAGCAACGTTATTGTATCCCAGGAGACAGTTGCAGACGTAGGATCCCACTAAATTGACGCACTGCGAGTTGTCGGGGCATGGGTTGACGGTCGCCGCGCACTCATTGATATCTGAATAGATAAAGACGATTTCACATTACTCCCTTTGCAAAGCGGCCAGTAAATGTGGACAGTGTACCCTACTGACTCCAACTCATAGTCTCGATGCAATCCGTATGTTTTATATTGACAATCCGCTTCTCTGGCTGTGGGTAATTCTATTTGTTATGGTCCCCGCGATTTTGTGTTCATTGGGATTCACTGTATTGAAGAAAAACACACCCAAAACCATCATATGTTTTATATCATACTCTTGATGAATAATGTTTGTTAAATGAATTGATCGTTTAAAATAATTTAAGGTTATCGTCCCGACACACTATGGACTAATATATATGTAGTAAAGCGGAAATCGCTGCTTATAAAATTAATCATAGACTGTCTGGTCCTGACTATTTACAGCCTCCTTCATATATAGCTGAAATGTTGTTGAGTGTAGCATTAAATAATAAACAAAACAAATGAAACTACAGAAAAATCTATCTGTTTTCGATAGTAACGAAATGTTCACGTTAAAGAGTGTTAACTGTACGTCCGAAATCCAATTTCAGTTCAGCGATAAGTTTCCACTCTGTATCGATAGAACTCCAAAGAGAGACAGTATATACTACTCAAAAGAAGTTAAAGATACCTTCTTTAAGTTCTTTTGTGTAGCAAACACATATTTCTTTTACTGTTGCCATAACGACGCCGTCGCTTCAACAGTACGTACCGATGCAGTCGGTTCCATTCTTGGCATAACCAGTTGGGCAGTTGCACATATAACTTCCTTGGTTGTCCACGCATATCTGCTTGCTGCCACAGATGTTGGGGTTTACTTGACATTCGTTGACGTTGGTGACGCAGTTGACGCCGCTCCATCCCGACACACATTGGCAGCCCTTGACAGAGTCACACCCTGAAGCCCGGCCTTGACATTGGCATGTGTTTCCGCACTCGGGTCCCCACTTGGGAGGTATACATTCTGAAAAAGTACATTGCATAACGAATCTCATTGTTTTAGCGTCCGACTCTCCGTGTTAATGAACGCGACAAGCACTGTGGGGACTACCAGAAACCAGTGCTTGCCGTAAGAGCCGATTAATGTTGCAGGATCCGCTATATTCCGTAAGGGCGTGAGTCTATTCACTGCTGCAAGATCTGTCAAAAGATATGGTGTTTTGTGCAAAGGTATAAGTCTATGTACTGCTGCAGGATATGTCATAAGATCCTTTCCGTTAAAATGTCTGTTGTAAGACAAGGTATATTGTGTAAGGATCTGAGTATACTCACTGCTGCAGGATCTGTTATCGGCGTCCAGGCTGAAGCCATCAACACAAGAGCAGGTGAAGGAACCATCACTGTTGACGCAGGTTTGAGAGCATAGGTTAAGGTTGCACTCGTTGATATCTGCAATACAACACAACACAAAAGTGAACAATAGTTTTTTTGTTTTTTTGTTGTTTTATCGAGTCGGACTAGACAACCCAGTGATTGACATCATGAGCATCGATCTTCGAAATGGGATACGATGACATGCATCTACCAAATCAGCCAGTCTGACGACCTGATCCCGTTAGTCGTCTCTTACGACAAGCAAGAGTTGCTGAAAATCAATCTTAACCCGAATCGTCACGGAGGGAGACAAGCATGGGTTGCTGAATACCAATTCTAACCCGGATCTTCACGGATGTGAACAGAAGGTATATATGCCAAGCACATGACTAACATTTTCAGACAGGAAGGTTAATGTTGAAGAAAATGATATACGTTTTTTTTGTTCTTTCTGTGATCAACATTTTGAGATTGTTTCAGTCCCATTCAAAATTTGAAACGATTTGAGTGATTTACACTTGACAGCGCATTGTAAATATCTTACAAGAAATAAAGAGAAAGTCCGTTGTCAAGGTTTACCTTCAAAATGATTATATTGCTATTAGTAATTGTTGTATATAAGAATAGTATAATGTTTTTTTTCTTAACGGGAATAGCTGTAATTACGATTTCTGTAAATGTGTTCAGGAGAAATAGTTTCTAAGTTATGCTCATCCGGGTCACACAGTTGTGAATAGAAATGTTCAAACACAAATTATACCTTCACAGGCCTTGTTGTCAACGGCGAGTTTGTAGCCTGGCCTACAAAAGCATGTGGGGGCACTGTTCACCTCAGTGCAGATGTGGGCACAGCCATGTGCCGAACAGCTTGGTGGCGCTGAAAATAAATGCGGTCGTAAGTCAGATAACAAATTATATCACGCCTGGTGAGCGTTGTTAAACTGTTGCCCGAACACTTGAATGACGTGTTATGTACGGTTTTGTTGATGTCCATATGTATATGCACACAGTGGGTTTACGGGAGAGCTCTGCAATCAGTTCTTGCGAAAAATCGTGGGGGGGGGGGGGGGGGGGGGGGGGGGGGAGGAGGGGGGGGGGAGGAGGAGGGGGGGGGGGGGGAAGATATTGGTAACTTACCTGTTTGCTGTGCACAGGTCTTCTGGTCGGAGTTAAGAATAAAGCCAGGCAGACAACTACAGGTGTAGCTGGCATCAATGTTTTCACATTTCTGTTCACAGCCGTCAGAACGGTCCGCACACTCATCAATATCTGAAAACACAAATTTGCCTATGATAAAGATAATGATTAATTTCAACATCAAACGCAATACTGAATACCAGTATACCATTATTGATACTAATAATGAAGTATTTGAATAGAAAACCTGACATGATCTTTCACCATTTCACAACGAGTGATTACTTAACAAGGGAAATGTTGAAAGTAGATTCCATGGATTTGGAAACAATCAATTGGTACAGTATTGAACATAGTGTTTTGAACCCATAGACGTGCCGCCGAATTCAACAGTAAAGAGAAGTATTGACCCGCTAGATCTAAAATGACCCGCACGACGACGTTAGCCTTTGTGTAATGGTAAGTGGCAATTCACATATTTTACGGAGTGGCCCAGCGTGTATTTACGAAGCACCAGCAACCGGATGCAACGGAAGACGTACAATGATCACCGAAACTTTAAAACGTCGGGTAGTTGAATTTTTTAATGTTTTCAAATACAAACTTCAACTTCCGTATCTGCATTCAATTGTTTTAATGCCTTACCTGCGCATGTTCCGTCCGTCAACTTCCGGTAGCCAGAGATGCACGTACAAGTGAAGCTACCGACGGTGTTCGCGCAGTTGGAATTGGCGGGACATGGCGATGAGCTTCTCTGGCACTCATTCTCATCTGTTGGAACGGAACAACAATTGCAAATGGTATTAGTGACATACACATATATGCTTGGTAAACGTATGAAGCATTCGCATGTACTTGTAACTTCATAGCATACTGAAAACCTAATAATTTTTATCTTAAGGGAACCGTGATCTGATCGGGTCTAACAGACCAACAGAGTGAGAAACAGTTAAAGGGGATTCAAATCCACCAGAAAACACCATTATTTTTTTCTTGTTGACATTTTGTGATTAATATCAATTCAACAGTTAATGCTTTCTCTAATTACACAGTGACAAAACCTCAGTTTCACCCTGAGTATTAATGGCTAGAACTGGGCAACGGACGGTGGAACAGAGCCCGCCTTTAACGCTGGCGCGATATGTTGACATGTGACAAGGTCCTATCTGGAACAAGTAGCCTCCATCAATAACTATTTTTATCAGACGCCAAAGATACCACGATTTAGGTGTCTCTAATGACAGGAATAGATGACTCGGCATCTCATCTGTCCTGGCACTCTCCTACCCACAGTTCCACAGGAGTGTGCTGTCCTGGGTCCATTTGCCTAGGTCTATCTTTGTGTACCTTCACATTTGACGTTGGCGGCATCGCTCTGGTAACCAGCTGGGCATGGTCCACAAGTGAAAGCCTTTCCGGAAGACACCTCAACTGAGGGAGTGACGTCAGTGCAACTTCGGAGAGATCCACACGGCTTAGTCTCGCAGCCATTTTTGTCGGTGTTGCAATCAGTTCCTGGTGGAGAGAAAAGACAGTACGGGCATTGTTTCAGTCGTATAAATTCGTGACATTTTACAATACTATCGTATCATGAAGTTCATAACATCTAATCATTACATAACATTAATCATTTCCACTTTCTTAATATATACAGACATCAGTAATAAGAGTTATATCACTCCAATTGAACATCAAGTGTACTGGCACACATTTTGAATGGTCATCACCCTACGTTAAGGTTACATATTGTAACGGTATCTATGTGATGAATGTACTCCTTTGTTTTTCAGCATTCTATATCCGTTTTCATGAACTTTATGGGGGTACACATCTACGAGCTTTGCACGAAGCTGACACGCTGTTATTTAACTGACATACTGGAAAAACGTGGCGTTAAACCAAACTCACTGGCTCAATGGTTTTGCGAAACCGAATAGAAGTGCTCACCTCCCCATCCTGTTGTGCACTTGCAGGCAGCAAGTTTAAATGTGTCTGGCGAATTGGCGGTGGTGGAAGATCTGGTATTTGTGAAGTCGCACGTTCCGCCGTTGTTACAGACCCCACACAGGTTAATCTGCACGTCGATCTGGTTAGAAGCCAAACCTTTAGCATCCTCCGATACCAAACTGAAAATAATAGTTATTATATTTATGACATTAAAAACAATGAAATAACAGAGAATAATAGAAATAATACAAATATTAATAAAATTAATAATATACGATGGCACTTAATATAATAACACCAAGAAGAAGACAAACAAACCAAATTAATCATCAGTCTTCCTCGCTGCGGTGTTGAAGCTGAAGTTTTAGGTTTTGCAGTGTGGCGTGGCTCTGGGGGTATTTTGGATGTACTCCATCTGGAGCCTGACACACGAAAAAGGGGAACAACTCACACAATCCGGACAGGGTCCAGGGAGGCAGGGGTCCAGACCACGGCCCCGCTATCCGCATTTAGATTCAGGCCCGTGGGGGTGGTGCCAACGACAACGTATCTGACGGTATCTCCCTCGGCGTCGGTGCTGGAGTACGACAGGCTTGAGGCTTTAGATACCTCCGCGTTCACCTGGGCCGTGCCGGTGAGCTTTGGGGCACTGTTGGCTGCAACAGAAATCCATAGTGTGTCAGTGAGAACTTAAATATGCATCCCAATTATGAAGGGCTGGAGTGCATATGAGGAAATCTGTTGTGACGAGCGCTCACAAACTATGTTATTTAAAAATGCCAAAAATTATTTGAATTCTCCGAAATTCAACGTATTCATTCATATACTCAATAACAACATAATCTTGATCAAGCCACTCATTACAAAACCAAATGTGGCACAGACCTGTATGTTTTGTTCGTGAATTTGTTGACAAGCTAAGTGGTGGTCCAACGTTTTTAATTTTTCTTTGTTGTTTAGCGTTGCATTCATCAATATTACAACTATATGATGGCGGCTTGTAAATTGAGTCTGGACCTGGTAGGGGTGGGGGTCTTACCCAGGGTGGCTCGCACTGCCGTGGCTGCTACCTGCAACGCTTTAGTCGACTCTGCGAGGGCCTGGTTGCCGGTGGCGGCGAAGTCAAGGATGCACTGCTTGTTGGTAGTGCCACCACACACCTCTTCAGCTTTAGTCCTTGTAGCACTGTCGATCTCGTCCAGGAACACTGGCACAAAGCTCAGATTGTTCGCAGCGGCGTATGTTAAGCCTGCTTCGTATCTCATGACACTTTCTGCTTCAGTTACACGCCCTGCAGAACAAATACAATATTATTCTCGTTTCTATAATTACTTGTCTGGGGCTTCGGTTTTAAAAGAAATATAGGGCTGGTGGAAAATATGGATATAAACAGTTAAACAATTAGCCACCGAGGGAAAGAAAATAGAAAGTAGTTATTGTGTACTCACATGTTTGCCCCATTTCAAAGATCTGTCTTTCAGTTGACGTCGATGGAATTGTCTCCCCTGTTTTCTTCACCAGATCGTTTGTCTGGTCAAGATCAAAATTGCCCATTAAGCCTTTAGCCAGGCCCCTATACAAAGTGTTTATGTTGGTCTCGATGGATAGGGTTTGAGCGTTTATACTAATCGCAATTGAGATTCCTGAAATGATAGAGATAATTGAATAAAACTTATTTTTAGAAGCAATATTCGTTAATCAATGTATTCACTAATCAGATGAAATAGCTACCATATGTAAATGCTGTGTTAACGATCAGACATTGAAATCCAATCAGTTCTGGACGAACATGTCATTACCGCTTCTGTTGTATGAACAATCTGCATCTACTATTCGAATGCGACATGATGCTGATAACACCTTCCAGGTGTTAATGGTCAGTTTCGGGAACACATGGTGTCGCCATTGTACTTTTTACCACAGTAAGAAGGCGACTAACGGGATCGGGTCGTCAGGCTCGCTGACTTGGGTGATGCATGTCATCGTATCCCAAGTGCGTGGATCGATGCTCAAGGTTTCAATCAATGGAATGTCTGGTCCATACTCGATTATTTACAGATCGACGTCATATGGCTGGAATATTGCTGAGTGCGGTGATAAACAACAACTAACCAAACAAAAACTTTTCACCGCAGCCGTGACACCAAGTGTTCGCGAAACTATGCGGGTGTTGGATGTTAGGTTCACTGGAATGCGCAAAACAATATGAACAAGAAACCTCGCGTCAGCTGTCAAAAGATATTAAAAGATATAAAATTTGTCTTACCCGACTCTGTGAAGTAGAAGCTGACTTTGTTAACCGCCTCCTTCCTGACCACCAGGGAGGCACAATCTTTCTTGTAATTATCCGTCTCGTCGAATTGTGCCGAGATATCAGTCCCGTTAGCAAAGATAATCATTTCTGTAAAGGAACGTCTTGCTTTAGTTCATTTTGTACAATTTATCGTTAAGTGCTGTGGTTTGTTTGACGTTAATCAACCTAAACGAACAATGTTCTGTTTGTTATTAACGTGAATCTTGACTGAGCCTTAACTATTTGCATAAACAATTTTTCAATGGACTATATAGATTTTAGGAGGAACACCCCCGTTTTATGTTATATATTGCGCAGAAACAAAATGCATACTTGTACGGTCGACGTTCATCTCCACAAAGAAAATGGCGGGATATGAAGCTCCGACAGTTGTCTCCGAGACACCAAAACCCTGGAAAATTGTCGCTTTTGAGTCGTCTCCTGTTTGGGTTTTAGCCGGGACCGTACGACACTGGAGCACCATTGTGAAGTTTCCGTTAGTAATTTCGGACAATAGGTATTCGCCGTACCCGTTGAAGGAATATTCAAAACCATCCAAGGTGGTTATGTGGGGATCGCCTGCAGCGTTGGCTGTAATAAACAAACATGGGTGTCAAATGCAATGGAGGGGAGTTCAATGTATGGCAATGGCTTAAGGAACAGGGATGAGTGGGATTCCCGTTATACGCCGTGATAAAACTGGAATACTGTTAAAAGCGGCGTGAAACCCATCTCACTCACTCACTACAAAAAGGGACTTCGTGGTTTGGGATACAATAGGTTGAAAGTGTGGGATGGGAAGGGAATATAAACCCAATGCTATTCCACAGATTTGTGATAGGCCTGTCACAAGGGAGATGGTCCTCTAACTAGGGGGACTCACCTTCAGATACTGAGGAGGTGGTGTCACAAACTCCTCCAGGCCTCATGTCTCTGAAGAGCTGACACATGCTGTTCTGGACACAGCAGTTATCGTAAGGGTCGATGTCCTGAGTCTGGTGAGCGCTGTCTGAGCTTCTGAAGCGGAGGTAGTGACTCGTAGCTTCGTCAAGGACTTCATTGCTGTAGCAACATTGCTGAAAGAAACGGCAGATTTAGAATTAATTAATGATTAATATACAAACTCGTTGACCACATCCATGAAATTCGTTTGATATATGGTACCTGTGCTATCCTTTGACGAAAACCTCATCTGATGGGACGAACCGACCTGATAATGCCAATTTATAAAAGAAAATGAATGTGTGTTTGTTGTTAAATGCCGTGCTCAGTCATATTCCAGGAATAGGACGGCGGTCTGTAAATAATCGAGTCTAGACCAGACAATCCAGTGATAAATAGCATGAGCATCGGTCCACGCACCAGACAATTCCAGTCATTTGCATAATGAACATCGATCTACACGACATGAACCATCAAGTCAGCGAGTTTGATCACCCGATCCCGAACTTATCCAGACATCAGAACAGGAGTAGAGAAGAAAACCCTGCTTTTAGTTACCAGTGCACCATTGTATTGAATGGTAAAAAGCGTTCGCTGGTCACGCCAAAGGCCCGGGTTCGATTCCCCACATGGGTACAATGTGTGGAGCTCATTTTTTGTGTCCACCGCCGTGATCATGTAAACACCAACTCCGTCACTGTGATATGTGTCCTGTTAAACTTATTTATACAGAGTAAAATCTTATCCTACCTGTGTGTCAAGCTTGTTCTTGTTCTTGATGAGTTCGTAGCATTGCAGACTTCCTACGGTTGTTGGGCCGTCGAAACTCTTGTAATTCTTTATGTGAGCTTCAGCACATGGACAGGAGACCATTTTCGCGAGAGATTGGCGAAACTCCGACATTAAAAGGTAGTTTGTAGTGTACCAGGACCCGCAATCAAAGGCGGCTTGTCTCGACGCTTCGACTACTGCCAGTTCTCCAACTTTCAGAAGAAACACGCCATTTTGTCCTGCATCAGAATCGACAAGGAATGTATTTCACACCGTTGATGATAAATATATCAAAGTCCACGTTAACAATTGATTAACCTTGTAATGTGTTAATTAACATAATTACCATTTGTTGAGTCAACTCGTGGAGTGTTTTGTTTTTAAATACAGGTTAAGGTACGTGTTTTCTAAATATAACGCCAGAAAATAGCCAGTCTCGAGTATCCGACGAAACGGATCCCATTGGACGTAAAAGGCACATATCATATGAAAGGATAACAGAAAATCATTGATTACACCAGGCGTTCGCGAAAAGGGCAAGAATGACCTACCGTTCTTGTAACAATGCAGAAACCCACACAATCCTATGTTATGAATACAAAGCAAATGTCACCTGTATTTCCAGTGATTAGATCCATGGGAACAGATTCCCTTTGGTCGCCATCTGTCTTGTATTGCTTGTAGTTTATTAGAATTCCAGCAGTTAAATGCTTATAACCAATGACAGAACGATCCAAGAAGCTCTGGGGCCATGCCATGTCTTTGTAGTTGATGAGTACGTAGGAATCAATTCCGTCAGAGATCAGAACGGCTTGGAATGTGTTGCGCTGTAATTGGAAATACACAATTGTGGTGGAACATCTGGTATTGCAATTTTTGGTCTGGTACCCAAATTTTGATGGGTATATTTTGAGTGATCAGTTCCCCACCTTAACGCTATGATATTTTTGTGGAACGAAGGCCATGTGGGGACCCGGTTTCACATAGTTATTTGAAGACAAACAGTATTTTAAAATGCCACTAAATATTTTCAGCTTTTTAAGTAAAGGTAAATACTGTATACAGTGTAATTTCCCTGCTGATTAAACATCACATGAGATGGCCTTGACAAGCACGTACCAGTCTTGCTTGACAACCGTATAAGGATCCTTACCGAAACGTCGCCCCTACGGTAATTAAAAAAGTTGTTATCCATAAATTGTGTCAACTTCTAAGTAATGCATGTCAAACAAACCGTACCAGAGTTGATGGGGTGGTTTTGTCTGTCCTCTCAAAGTAGGGAACATCGAACCACGTGATTACGGCGACCCACATCGCCTCAAACGTTGGGTCGACAACCTGAACCTCATTTGTCGCTCTCCCAAGGATTTCAAAGGCTGGAAAAAAACAGAACATGAAGAAACCAAACACAAACACAGTTGATACAGTGATACATTTAGAAACTACATAATTGATTGAAGGATGTATTAGTTTTGAAGTACTTCAGCTGAGGGTCTCGGTTGGAACAGGGGTCTAAGACGTGTAACTTTTTCATCTGTCAGCTTGGTCTGTCAGCTTAATTTGTTCCATAATTAATAAAATGCATGACCTGCGTTAATTTTGAGATTTGAGATTTTTTTTAACGCATGCCGTGATGTAACTTAACTACGAGTGCAAGCTATTAAAACCTTCATGAAAGACCTACCTCCTGCATCGCCGACCTGATATTCGCCGTAAAATACCTCAGCGGAAGTGCCAGCATAGAGATGGTTGGCGTCAGCGCAGAATACACATATGAAGTCCTCAGGTTGGGTGTCGATGCTGGCCAAGTCAGAGGGGTTATAAGCAGGGTCGCTGAGGGTTGTTCCGAAGCTCAGGATGCCGTTATCGCCCACCTAGTCGTATACAGATCACTATTTATATATCCATATATTTCTTAAGGCTATTGTGCGAAAGTTGCCTGTAATACTACTACACTACATGTACAAGCTAAAGACAACCATTATACGTTTTCAAATTTGCTACTTCTACTTCTACTACCATTACTACTACAACTACTACTCCTACTACAACTACTAGTATTACTGCTGCTACTCCTACAACTACCACTTCTACTACTACTACTACTACTACTCCTACTACAACTACTAGTATTACTGCTGCTACTCCTACAACTACCACTTCTACTACTACTACTACTACTACTACTACTACTACTACTACTACTACTACTACCACTACTACTGCTACAACAACCACTATTACTACTACTACTGCTATCACGAACTACTACTTCTGCTAATACAACTACTCAACCTAACCATGGTTACTTCTACTCTTTCTACAGTTACTGACAATACGCCATTATTTCTGCTTCATTAACCATTGCTACATCTACTGCGAATTTTACATATAATATTTCTACTGCTGCTACAGCCGTTGTTAGATTTCAATTACTATCGCTTGTGTCATTACGTATTTCTACGACTTTTCCAGTGTGCGTCACTTACCGAGTAGTAAGACTTGGATGCTGTGTTGAAGGTGAAACCAGATCGGATGAAACGACTTTCGGAGTTGGCGTCGATACCTCGTGACAGCTTATTGTCAATGGTGGAGAATCCCCAGGGAAATAAATCTACAATAGACAACCGGTTTTGATATATAGAAGAATTACAAGCAACATCTTACTTGGTTTTACTTAACTATCTATTTACTGTATTCAATAATGTTCTTAAGAAGTAACATGAAGTAATATGTCTTGCAAAGTTAACAGCTTGTGAAATTAGCTTCATACCGGTAAGTATAATATATGGAAGCGCAAGAACACTTTGGGTGTATCGTTCCATGAAGAATGTATTATGCTGAAGTATCCATTGTAATGAATATATTTACCTGTGCTGGATGCGGTTGAAACTGAAAGTGAAAAAACCCAATCATTTACATGTGTACAATATGCAGTTACGATGTGTTCAAAAGTTATTTATATTTAATTTATATGATAACATTATATCAACCCTTCTTTTCATTTTTCTAAACAAATATTTATATATTTATTACAGTATGTACAAAAAGCTGATCATTAGTGTGCAGATGTTACTTTCGCCATATAAGGAAGATATTTTTATGACTACTGCCTTCTTTAAAACCTCCGATTGCTGCTCTGTACTTACTGGCCCTGAAACATAACAATAAGAACCATTATAGTAAAATGTAGTAAGTAGCAACAGTCGTATACTAAGATATCCTTTTGAAAGCCATCATAATGTGATATGATAGTAAGAGCTATCCAACCAAGATGTAGTGGTTATCACCATCATACAAAAATATAATAAAACTAATCCATCAATCTTTGATTTATTACTAAGAGCAATCATACTAAGATGGGAACCATAAGAATTTACGTTGATGCTTTAATTCATGATTTATGTTGTGATCATTGGTTTGCTTTTTGCAGTGGCTGTTGCTATACCATTGCTGAGAAAGTTACACCTATCGTTAATGGTTCTTGTATGATATTATGTTTAATACGGTCGACACAAGGGTTTGGGACACTTACTGACAAGATGTCCCTGATCCACAGGGTCTTGTCGACGGGCAGAGGAAACATGTTACGGTCTCTGTAAAAAATATGAAGAATATTGAAATAAAATCAGCCTACATATACATACATATTATTATTATCATTCTTGTCTTGTGATTTATGTGATACATCAATGATATGCAAAATAAGCTCTTGAACCACCGTGGCTGGTTCTTATGAGAATGAAGTTTGATAACAGGTAATTGATTGATTAGAGGGAACGGATTCTCAAATTAAATGAAAACTTGGTCGTCTCCAATATACACACGCGGACATATGCTAATCCGGGCGATTTCACTTTCACGGCAATATCAGCAAGGTTCTATTGTATTCACTCAATCATTCAAGCAATAACAATCCTCAAAATAACACTGTATCGTGGTAATACGTAAGAGTCGTGTGTAATATTACAGCAAAGAGACAACAGTCCGAAGGCCATTGCCCTGTGTGTACCTTTCAACTGCCAATCAAATGATTTACAAAATCAACCAATTATTTATTGGCATAAAAGAATAGTAAATCTTTAGTGTGTGGTCTTTTCAATCAATACAGGTTTTAATTGTCGCAATGGACTTACTCTCTATGTTGTTCGCGTTCCACACTGTTGGTGATCGTGTCTGGGTGTAGGCACCAATGTTAAATCCAGAGATAAAGTTCTTGAAGACGTAGGCCACGAGAACCCGATTGTTGACGGAGTTGAATTTAGTTGTGAACACCACGCTGGTCTCGCTGTTGCCATTGTCACTGAAAAATGAAATCAGCATAAGAACGCGATAGACTCAATCGAATAAAAAAATGATTCTTAATCAGAATTAAAGAGGATCTATAATATTTAAAACAATGAAAAAGCAAACTCAAATGTTAGCTTTAAGTGGTCAAACTCGGAAGGAAATATTTCTTAACTTTGGTTTTCGTTGCAACTTCGGATATGACAAGTATAACCAAAACATAATCCTATTGCACTCGTAATTCAGACTGTATTGTATTTATCTTCATGTTCATCTTCCCCAAATGGTTTTATGTCCAACCAACTTCTTAAGCCACCACAGTTGTTATATTGGTGTCTTCCACCACACGTTGTGGCTGCCCATAACTGATCTAAATACTTACGACACGACGGCAGTGACTGTAGAATAGTCAACACCTTGTTCATCAAACTCGGCTTTCACCTGCAAACGGATCAGATGCATGGTGTGAGAAGGTGATCAAATCATTTCATAATTACTATATTAACAAAAGATAAGATATATATGGATGAAGAACTTCTTTTTCACAATTAGGAGAGACGTTTCCGTGTAGGTTATAACACCGTTATAAAGTAAGTACATTCATATATCTTCTCCTTACCTAGTACTTAGTACTTCGAAATGCCCCTCAAAGCTCAAAGAAGTTACATTAACATATTTGATGAAAAGTAGAGGCATATATTTGGCTAAAACGTTTAAGAGTTCATCTTTGGATTCTTTCTGGGAAGCAATAACTTAAAGACCTGCTTGCTAGGTGATATCTGTGTTTTGTGACAGTTGTTGATGATGATTTATTTTAGCGTTGGCTTGAGTAGAGACATATAATTAACTCCTAATGTTCAAAGACACAAAGTTGAAAAGACTAAAACTGCTTACCAGTGTCTCTGCGTCACTCTTGATTGTAGGCGAAATACCAGAGCTGAACGCTACATCAAGAACAATCTTGGTGTCAACTGAAAAAGAAAATGCAATGTATACTTGTTCAACAACTTGAGTGTATTATATATCAATACCGTAATTGAAAAATCCTTCTGTTGGATCTTCAATGAAATTTTATTTCTTTTGATAATCATGTCCACTGTGTTGAACCTTTTGGGCTGCACGCATCCCGTTGTGCGAGGACCTGTCACACAAACAGGACACTAGAATAATACTGGTCTTTAAAAATCATTTAGAAGTGATACACATAAGCAAAAGAATATATGGATGTCAACTTCTTTATGAGGAACACAACGTTTCGGAGCATATGTTTACTCCTTCACCTGAAGAAGGATAATAAAGAAGTTGACATCCACATATTCTCTTCCTAAGATTAATACTGTTCTTTTAACATGACTTTCTACTCGCCATAAAAGCATATTCCCCATGTCAACTTACCTCCTGCATCCAGAGTTCCGGAACCCCCCTCCTCTGTTATAACCTGACGCTTGCGCCTGTGGAGGCGAAGATCGTGTTCTGTGGGCAACAGGAAGTCTTCGAACTCAAAATCGAGTTCTTCGTGTATCAGTCGACTTGGCGCATGAGTGAGCGTCCTCGCCCTGGAGGTGTCGGGTAGCCTTGGATCTCTGACAGATGTATTTACACTTGCATGGTATGTTCGTGTTCGATGGCCCTTGCGGAATTGAATCAGATTGTCCGTTGCAAGCAGAGTTTCTAGTTGATCGTCGTCAGCTGAAAAAACGGTAAAATGACCGCGTTAAAGGAGCTCTCCGACTACATTAATGTGTGTATGAAATGTATTTTTGACTGTCTCACATCGTTATACAAGCAGCTTCAAGTTCCGGAGTTATGATCATTAATAGTGTTTGGGGTAATGTCCTAGGAATGCTCCTCTCTAATAATTGTCCGAGGAGCGGGTTTTCTTACAAACCTGGTGTTTTTCAGTGAAACAGTCATATAATCGTCACCACTAGGTTGCCTTTTACGTTCAATAGAATCTGTTTAGGCAGATAATCGAGACTGATCATATAATCAGGGACTGGACACTTGTTCAGCGTATGGCGATTATATACGGGTGCGATGTATACTGTTTTTAAAGGACCTATGAACTTTACAGAGATAATTGAATGTTCAATACGAACCAAGCTTGACCACTGATTGCGTCGCGATGACCAGCACCACGAAAGCGTTGACGACCACAGCGGACAGAAGGAGGGGGGTTCCTGCAACAAAGAAAAGTTACAATAGACAGTGCCTTGAACCTGGTCTATGCATGAACGCTTAGTGGCCCTTAAATGAAAAGGAGTATCGACTAATACTACACAAATATATCGATAAACACGAAACAGAGTTTTCATAAGAGTGTTTTGGGTGTGGTTCTGTGCACTGTATGAGTTCTGAAATATATGTCAAATAGTTGTGTGGTGTATTTTGTTTTCTTCAAAAACCCGCATTATATACAGATGGGTCAAGTCAAATCTGTGTTTTAGTGTCAATTTTATCGCAGCATCGCCGTTCCAAACAAAAACTGAAAGACGAAAAGTTTCAGGAAATATATGAAGCAGCTGAGGTTGATATAACAGAGTACTTTAGAGTAACCAAGAAATATAAAAGAAAGAAGGAACAAACCCAGACGCTTGTGTATAATGAAGAGTCCTGTAATACACAGGAAGGAATTTGTAATCTGTTTTCCAAATATTTCAAGGATTTATCAATGCCAAATCATGATATCAATTTTGACTCAGATTTTACTGATTATGTGAATATTCGCATGGAACAGATTGAAAATGACTCGTATAATGACCAAGGGAACAGCGACGTTAGTTCCACGTTGATTTGTCCTTTCACATCTGATGAGTTATTGGCAACTATAAAACGTCTAAAAAGTGGAAAATCGCCTGGTCCCGATGGCATAGTTAATGAACATATCAAATACTCTGGTAGATCTATTATCCAACACCTTGTTATATTTTATAATAAAATTGTTTCTCATGAATATGTACCTAAAATGTTTAACGTTTGAAAGATTTTACCTATCCATAAAGGCCATGGTAAACGTAAAGACGACCCCACTAACTACAGAGGTATTACCCTCACTCCAGTATTAAGTAAACTGTTCGAAAGACTTCTGCTGAATAGAATTGAAGAGTGGGCAAACAAATCTAAAGGCTTCCCCCACCGCTTTCAGTTTGGATTTAGGAGAGGGGCTGGGGCAGAAACTGCCCTGTTTACATTAATGGAAAGCATAGCTTATTATAACGAAAGACAGTCTCCAGTTTACTGCGCTTTTCTCGACAACGAGAAAGCTTTTGACAGAGTCTGGCTTAATGGTCTTTTCTTCAAACTGTATAACTTTGGTATTAATGGAAAATTATGGCGACTTCTACGCACAATATATACCTCAATGCAGTCATGTGTAAGCATTGGAGGTTTTACCTCAAATGTGTTTCATGTTAAGCAAGGTGTTGGCCAAGGTCGCGTTTTATCGGCATGTTTTTTTACTCTATATATTAACGACTTGTTGTATTCCCTTGATGATTTAGGGCGTGGCTTGTGTCTTCCATGGGGTAATACACCCGGCATCCTATTAGCAGACGATACTACGCTGTTGAGCAGCTCCTCTGACGGACTGCAATGTCTACTGAATAATATATACACCTATGCTAATAGATGGCATTTGAAATATAATGCCAGTAAAAGTGCATTTCTACTGTTTGGGAATATTCGCAAATCTGTCTCTCAATGTGTCTACATTGGTTCACAAGTACTTCCTAAAAAGGAAAATGTAACTTATGCTGGATTGCTTCTAAGTACATCAAAGAAAACCTTAGAACGTAGCCATCTAATATGTGAAAAACTCAGAATGTTAGTCAATATAAATTATAATCATGGACTATACTTTGGTGGCTTAAATCCTATCCCAGCTGTTCGTATATGGGAAAGGGTAATTTTACCATGTGGATTATTTGCTTGTAGTGTATGGGGTAAACTGTCACCGAAGGAATACGAAATGCTTGAAATTATTCAACGTTATTTTTGTAAAAAGATTCAAGGACTGTCTAGACGCACTCCTTCCGTCGTCACCAGAGATTGTCTGGGTTTAATTTCTCTCCAGGCGTACATTGATCAACGAGCTCTCTTATTTCTGGGAAGACTATGTAATAGTGACATTAACTTTGCATTTAAAAGACTATTTCAGCACAGACTTGTTCAGTTTGAACTCGATACAATTAAAGAAAAAGATGATAAATGTAAAATGTCACCCTTGTACCACATGCTTTCACTTGTAAACAAGTATGAACTCAATAATGACATAAACACATATACCATTTATTCTCATTTCCCCTCAAAACATGCATGGGCGAGTCGAGTTAAAGAACAATTAGCGTAGGTGACCATAACATAATTCATGCAGAGATTCATTCAAGAGAAAACCTAAAACGATACTCTCTTATACGATCACCTAAGGTACACAGACTTTGGTTACTAACAATTGAAAGGCCGGAACACTTCTATGATTTAGCATATTTATTATGCCTTAGCACCTACAGTATACAATCTGATGAATGTTTATGCGGCACATTTGCTTTTGATATTATCAAACATGTGTTTATGTATTGTAAAAAGACTCAACAACAAAGAAATATTCTTGTTGAGTCTATTATTGATTTGCTAGATGTGACAACTTTTTCTAGTATCTGGAACGATGATGACGATACCTTTCTGTCCTTTTTACTTGGCGGTTTGCCAACAGAAAGTACTATGGCAATTGAATACAATCTATGGGCAAATATCATGCTTCGTGTATGTAAAACTGTTAAAATGTGGAAAAACCTACTAAGAAACATTATTTGATAACGATGTGAAACTGTCTGTACATACAATATATCAGCTGTTATATATATATATTTATATCTCATATCAATGTATCTTCATCAACTGGAGGAAATAAAGATGATCTATCTATCTATCTATCTATCTATTCTAAGTTCCTTACACATCATCGAAGCATTATTCCAAAGCATCGCATATTAAGCATTGAAGATAACAAATAATCAAGAACAATCGTCATTCTTACGTTTGGCAACAAACAAACAATTTTACACCCAATGGAAAATCCGTTTCGGCAGATAATTGAAACTGATTATTCTCTGGAGTTGACGTTTTATATTTGACAAGAGCTAAATGTGAAGCCATGAAGCATATCAAAAGATGGTTCTGTTAAATAGTAGCAAATGTAGATGATATGACACACTAAACATACAGATTACAGTGCCGAAATTTACTTGTAAAGTTTAATGGTTCGGTCCTCATTACAAAGAGTTTCAGTGCGGGGCTCAACAAACGAATACAATGTCATGCATGGTGTCTTGTTAACGACGGAAAACTGGAGAATCAATCTGATGTTTTATAGTTTGCACGTGTAAAATGGAAATGATACTCTTCTTCGATAATATTTAATCGCACAATTCATAACAATTAAGTGACATTTAGATGTTGTAAATATTTATCAATAAAGGTGGGGTTGCCTTTCGAGATCGGGTGCTATGGCAAGTACTTTTATGAAATGGCTTTCTCTATTTAGGTACAAGGACCTACACGATGCATTGACAAAAATTGTTGTTCTTTGTTTAAATCGGTGTCAACCGTCTTAGAATACTCTTCAATTTTGCATTTCTATTCTGAATAACAATATTACACTGCTACACTCACACATTGCAGTATTCTGAAGATTCTCTTCGAGTGTGTCATTTTTATATAGTAAAACATTATTAGAAAAGCATTACATGGGGACATCTGAAGGCTGAAATGTTCGCTGAAGATTTATTAACACAAGTATTTTGAATGAACGCTTACCCGAAAACATGGTAGCACGATTTGATGGGAATATATCCAGGCACAGTTATAAAGTTCCTATTGGGGCAATCCAGATGTCTATTGCACAAACATGGTCTTTTCTTAAAGCTACTTTGAATTTCTTCTGCTTACTACCTTCACCAACATCCAAGTTCAACACTAACTAACGCTCTGTCCAGTTTTCGCTTTTATATGGTTGTTAAAACAATGCCAATTTCTAAAGATTAAAAAAACCCAGTAGGAAGCGAGTAATTAAATACCAGACATCACAGAGACGGGTTGCGATGTGTTTGTTTTAAGAGTTTAGATGACTCGTTGATTTCACAGCCGAAACGCCTGGGGGAAACCATGTAGGACTAATCCCCTTTGTTCTCTTGACACGGACAACAATTAAACAGCAGCAATTGTTTCAATTAAACAGTAATGACACCTGTCGGGGATGTTCAAGGATAAGTAATGTAATTTAAGCAATTCACAGACAAGGCGAATACAGGTATTTGATTTGCTTGAAGACATAATCTTATGCGTGTTCCCTGTGATATACACAGGTGTGTTTTGACGACCGCTGGGAACTGGGTATATGTGAAACTTTACATTTTCCTTTTGGTTATTAGGCTATTATATGTTTATTGTTTCTTCTAAATTATTTTTCCATTTGTTATTAATGCGATGACTATATAAACCATATGCATGTCATGTAAGTAGAGGTCTGGATTAACGCATTCATTTAGCACATTACAATTTTATTATAATTCAAATAAGAAAGGAATTGAAGTATTTTTTCTTGGTAAAGTTTTTGGGTCGTCAATTTATACTAAATTAAAATTATGTTTAAAAAACGCCACAACAGTAAATCGGTTTAAGTCTCTGTTTATATAATAAGGGACCTAGAATTTGATCGACTGTATTCGTTGCCTGTCTATTCCTGAGACATGTATGCCTGTAAACTAGTTCTCTGTACTAATATCATCATTTACTAAACATGCACTAAGATCATACATATGGAATATATTCATTAAATACTAACAATCCCAGTTACGTCAAATCAGCCTGGTAGTTGTCCACTTTGAGAACACATATTCAATTTTTTCACAGGTGAGTGTTAATTAGCTCTAGGCAATTGTTACCTTCGCATGACCCCTTATTGTCCGACGTCGACCAACCAACAATGGCGTCACGACAACGTAGCATGCTTATAACAACAATCTGCCAAAACAGTAGTCACTAATCTAACAACACTTCAGTATAAGACGCTCTATATTTAACCTAGTTATAATCTATTATTTTCTCTTACATTACGACATTTATGGAACAAAACGAAATTATGTAATTATTTGTCTTTGGGTTCAATTACACAATCTCTTTG